TTCAACAAACAGCGAGTATTCATCGGACATTTCGATCGAACACTCATTTCTTCTATCGGCCGTCCGATACAAAAAAGGGTTGAAACTTGAACATTCTGTCTTCCATCAGACGCAAGGATCGGACGCAGAGCAATTGGATCGGACGTCTAACAGAGTATCAGACGTCCTACACAACTGGTTCGGATGTCTGACAGGTCCAACAACTGGTTTTCTAACGGTTAGTTTTTTAACCATTGAAGGAGCTTTTGGGGCATAGTTTCACCATCTATAAATACCCCCAAGTATGAGAAGAACGTAAAACTTTGCCTACACAAAATACAAGCTTTCTAAGAGTGATTCTTGGGTAGAAAACATTTTGATTGTTGTATAGGTGTAGGAAAGTTGGGTTTGTGAGGTTTCTCAAGAGAAGAACTAAAATCTTGTGTAGGTAAGCCTCATTTGTATAATAGCTTTTAGTTGGTTACTTAGTGGAAATCAATTGTAGCATAGTAAGGGTTAACTAAGAGTGTTGTAAAACTCTTTGCCTCAACTAAAGAGTATTTATGGTAAGCAAAGAGTGATCCTTCTTATGTACCAGATGATTTGCAACACCATCAATTGAAGAGGCTACTGGATTGGAGTTAACTTCAAGTTTGAAGGAAACTTGGAAGGTTTGGTTTGAATTTCTATCTCTTGCTTTTATTTTTGTTACTTAATTGTGCAATCTCTATTGCTCTATACTTGCGTTACAATTGTGAATTTGTGCAAATAGTTGTAGTACTTTTATTGGGTGAAAACTTATTTTATTTATTTAGTTTGTGTGGATAATCTAATTTTCCTCACCCTCTTAGGTTGTTTTTGGGCCTAACATATCTCACATAGAGTTAACTATCATAATAAGTATTCTAAAGGGGTACAACTATTTTTAAATTAAGTTAAATAAAAAATAATTAGTATATGTGTTGTTGAATTAATACTAAATGTCATGATAAAAGTGTTACAAGGACATATACAAGCAAGTGTCCTTATCAATGTGTCAAGAAAGGCCTTTTTTATTGCAATGTCTCAAAGAGGGTAACCACAATTGCTTTGAACATTTGATGGTTTTTGTGATCTTAAATAAGGAAAGATTCAGTTTTCTTCCTTGTGAGGAAGATTGCAAATTGTTGTTGGCTCTGTATAGTATCATGTACACTAAATACTCAACATTAGTAGTCACAGTATCATATACACTAGATATTCAACATTAGTAGTTAGTGGCATTCTTCTTTTTCTTCATTTGCTTTTCAAAGGCTCCAAAAGTTCTGAAGGATGTGCGTTTATTATATAGTATGTATGTTTTGGATATTTGATAGGCATTACTAGTTCTCAGTTAATTGTTTCTTATTGGAAGTAGTTTAACAAAGACCTATAGAAACATTCATATAAAATCCATTTAGTGAGAATTTTAGTTACTTCACCTATCACAACATGATACATCAGTGCTAGGTTCAAGCTATAGAATTATATCTTGTATTAACCCTCTATTTGGTGGTTGATTATTGCAAAAAGATTTTGATTATGCTATACTGTATTCTACTTGGTCTACCTTTTGTGCATTTAACTTCCATTTCCATCCATTCTCATCAAGAAAATGATGTCAATTACTGTTTTCAGTAGAACTATGATTGAGTATTTAAATTCTCTACCTATGATTCTATTACACAAGCATGATTCTAAAACTTGTTGAGGCTTTAACAGGGACTTTGGAATCGGTGAAGTAAAGTTGACCATGAAGCATGATGAGAATGGTATCTAATGCCATTCAAATGACTTTGAGAGGGAGGCAAATCCTTTAGCATTTCAGATGGAAAATATGCATGATTTTTTGTGTGCATCTTGTTGGGCATGTGGTCTAACCGATTTGGTGGGCCAAACCACACCTTAAGCCCATTAGGTTTTAAGTCAATATGACTTGAAGGAAACCTAGACTACTCATTTGATTAGTACTGAGATTTAGTCGCGAGATTCATTTTTAGAAACAAGAGAAAATCTTGAGAAGTAATTACTACTATTTATTACTTTTTTATTAATGAAACACTTATTACTATTTTTTTCACAATTACTAGTAGAATAAATCTTATATACATTGACAGTACATACACTATCACCGTTGGATTCATGACACATGTGCAAATATTAAATTTTAAATTCAAATTTTGCATAGTTATCATTTATCTAACCCTAACAGTGTATACACGGTCAGTGTAGGAAAGATTAATTCTTGCTAGTATTACTATTATTAAGTAATTACTAGTATTGACTACCACCAGTATTAATATTACTATTAACTATTAACTAATTACAAATCACTGTTTACTCTACTATTTACTATTTGTCCTTTTCTACTATTAACTAATTATTTTTGCTATTATTATTACTGTTACTTTTCTTTACTGTTAATATTTACCATTTCTATTGTTGCAGTTACTATTTATGTTTACTATTACTATTATGATGTACTCTTACTGTTATTTTCACTATTTACTTTTATTATTACTATTATTACTGTTTACTTTTACTTTTAGTATTTACTTTTTGTAAATAAGCATAATACTTGTACTATTTACTTTTACTTATTAACTATACTAGGCTGACGTTTTGACAATCCTAAACAGGAACATATTAAAAATAAGTATTAGTAATTTCTTGTACTAAATAGCAACATTAAAACGTAAAAACTTGTAAATCCAAAACATGAACACTATTTATTAATAAACTATTACTAATTTAACTAATTCAAATACTAATCAAATGTAATAAATTTACACTACTTATATGTAATCAACTAACAAACAAATTACTACTAATTAAATATAACAAACTAATACTTATTAAATATAGTTAAATGTAACACATAAGATTTGTCTTCATACCTGTTAGTTTGTTGGAGATGTTGGCTGTCCACCAACTTCAAATCTCAGCAGCAGCTTTTTTTGACCGATATAGGAAATCAATGTGCACAATTGGATTCAAATCCTAGCAATAGCCATAATCGACTTCAAATCCCAGCAGCGACTTCTTTTTTTCCGATATAGAAAACCAGTGTGCACAATTGGCTGCATAATGGGAAGGCATAATCGTAGGACCACAATGGCAGGAGTTCTTCAACAGAAAATCGAAAGGCACAATTGCAGAAGATCTTCGACAGAAAAGCCCAGTAATGGAAGGAAGATATTGGGGAGACTTAGAGTGTAATGATACAAATGGGGATGTGCCAGTGATATATTTATAACCAAAACATTGTGCATCATTTGTATCGATTAAATTCAGTCATTAATCAAGAATTAATCAATGGCTAAAAAAAATAATAAATAAACCTGTTGGTGGAGCATATGGGCCATTGATCAATTACGATCAACGGCGCACAGCCCTTTGCCACATCCCATAAGGGATGTGGTTACGCTGGACGCTGCATGCGGCATTTGAATTTAATAAAAAAAATTTTAAAAGAAGAATGCAAATTTTAAAAGTTGAGGCGTAGTCCAAAGCTAGGACTATGCCTCAACGGTTGATCAATGGTGCTGGGACTACGCCTCAACGGTGCTAGGACTATGCCACATCCAAAGTTAGACGCGTTGAGCAGATGCCGCATCGTAGGCGTCTTCAATTTTTTTTTATTTTATAAAACAAATTTGCACCATCCATCAACTTGTGATCAACGGTGCACAAGTCACGCCGCATCCAATAGTGGATGCGGCTAAGCCAATTGTTAAAATTTGCATTCTTCTTTTAAATTGCTGTGTTAGTTAAAAAAAATTGAAAATAAAATTAACTTTCTCTCCACGTCGCAAATCTCATTTGCGGCAATCCCTACTAGAGTACAAATTTGTCTACAACACCAAATTTGTCATGATTTCTTATTTCCGTAATATTTACAAAAATTTGCTGCCTTGTGAGAGTGGTCATTACCACTGTCTTTTTTTTCTTGTGCCATCCAGTTTAGAAAATAATTCTAGGGTTTCTTCTTCTCTTCCACTAACAACTTAAAAAGTTTGCACTTATCAAATTTGGGCAATTTCTACCTTAGAGATTCTTATTAAGGAGTTTGTGTGCATTAGCATTATGGGTTAGATGTTTGGATAGTTTTAAGTAGATAAGAACTTTTCACAACTTTCTACAATTTTGTTATGATTCTCACTATGTTTTAAAGGTAATCTTCACAAGTCTCTCTCATTATATAGAATCTAATCCAAGTAGATCCTTTTATAGGTAATAAAATCATAATTTCTATTATTTATTCATGCTTCTTTTTGTTAAAAATTTAATTTTTGGTCCTGTCTAATGTAAAATATCAATTAATCCCCTAAATTAAAGAAATTCTTAATTTGGTCCTCTAAAGTGGCAAAGTATCTCAATTTGGTCCATACAATTGGAAAAATCTCCTTTTGAACCTCTAAAGTTGCAAAAATATTGACTTCATCTTGGAGATCCTATGAATGGTGAAAACAAAAAAGAATCTCCAAAATTGCTTTATTTGGTAATTATAATTAACTGAGCAAAGACAGCATAGTGATCATGGAAAGATAGGAGAAAAAAAAAGCTTATGATAGAACAACTAAATTAAGCTTAACATCCTCCTTTTGTTGTTAAATCCTTCAATTCTTTTATTCTTTTATGTTTTTAAGTTTTGAGGTCCAAATTGAGAAGTTTTTAATTCGAGGGCCAAATTGAGATTTTGTGCTTGAAAGACCAAAATGAGACTTTTTCAATTTGAGGGACCAAATTGAAACATTTTGTTACTTTCAAGGACCAAGTTTGAGGGATTAAATAGAATTTGGGACCACTTTGTAGGATCAAAACTTAACTTACCGCTAAATTTTCCAATGTTTGCTATCCTAGATTGATGACGGAAAATAAAAGGAAACAGTAAAGAATGAAAAGCAATCTCAACAAATAATTAGCACTCTAGCGCCCCCCCTCCCCCCACATATATCTTCTAATTACAAGATCCAATAGGTATAGCTATAAAAACACAAAGAAAAAACAGAATGCAATGCATAAATGGTTGAATGTTGTGGATGGGCATCTTTTCACTGCTTATTCCTTTTAGTTTCTTGGTTTTTCTTGCAAATCAGAAAATGTTTTTGGGGAGTTTGATGGGCTCATAAATTATTTTTTTCGCGTCACTAACTATTTCTTTCGGAGAATCATACTCATTGGTGAACTTGTACAAATAAAAGCATATCTTGCAGGTTGTCCAGAAAAAATCCTTGCACACTCTTGGAACCTGGCTTCCATTTGTTTGAAGAACCATCTGTAGCAGTTGTCTTCGGCCTCTTTCAATATTCTCCTCTATCCTTGTTGTAGCCTCTTCCATTGTTATGACACCATTACCTCTAGCCACATGCATGGACACAATATTTGGTTTTCTTTGTTCGAGCTCTTTCTGAGGAAATTCAAGGACACAAAATTAGATTAGCATACTTTTCTAGTGCAAACAATTCAGTGATTCTTCAAGCAAGGCTTGATTTCTATCGACTAGCAAGATATTACTTAACACGAATACGAAACAGAGAATCATCTCAAATGGTTAAGAGTACTATTATATGTCAAGATTCCATTCCCACGAGAGTGTTGTAGCACTCTCTTTACATTCTAGCCATGGTAAGAATGCCATTTGAACAGCAAACCAAGTAGAGAAAAGAAGCATATACTTGACACACAACTTTTCTGCTGAATGCTTGAATAATAAAAACAAGAATAAGTAAGTCAAATAGGCCCTAAACTTTTAGCGATGTTTTCATCTGGTACCTCGACTTTTTAAAAGTGTAAAATAGGTCCTTAAACTTCTTTATTTGGTATTAAAAGGTCCTCAAGGCTAATCCAAGCAGAAGAACTTCTTGCACCACAAGGTTAGTCTAATGTCATCAGCTTGCCCTCCCAAGTTCAAAAACTAAGCTAATCTTCCACTTTAATGGTTTTTTATAAATATCTAAACTAACAAAAATGACACAACTACTATGTTGTTAAATTTCATTCAAGTGCACGTTGTATTTTGAATCAAATGTTATGAATATTGTCCTTCTATTATGGGTTAATTAGATTACTTGAATTCTAATGACATATTTAGTGAAAAGGAATAAATATGTAGACATTATTTACATAATAAGATTGGCTAAGAAATAGTTACTCAGTCTACAAGAACTTCTATCTACCAGTATTCTTTGCACAGTGAATCCTTTATGGGCAATTAAGCATATTGTTATCAAAGACCTAACAAGCAATGTTGAAAACTAAGCATAGAGCATTTAACCTTGTCAAAGTCCCATGAACTGAATTGATGGTGGAATAGATTTTTAGAGGAAAACTTAAGTGTTTGGATTGTGAGTTCACGCACAAATATTTTTTGGAATATTCCTTTCAAATTACGTTTTTATATCACATGCATTGCTTTGCTATAATATATTTTGCTATAAAACTCCAAAAAATTGCAATCCAAGTGGAACATAGGGCACATAGAACATTCAACTGAGAATATGAATTTAAGCAGAAGAAATTTACCTGTTGTGTTTGGATATCATTAAGGAGTCGTCCAACTGTGGAGGCATGCGTCCATAAGCTTTTCATTTCTTCACTGTTTAAAATATCCTCTGATAATTTTGGTCCAAGAAAATAAGCTCCCGTAAGAACGCAGATTTTGGCCCCAATAGTTGTGCGTCCAACAGATAAATATTCATCAATGGTTGGTGCTGAGTTTTCTCTCCACCAGTCTAGCTCTGTCAACATACCCTCCAGCAATTCCTGCCACTGTATGAAATTGCAAGCAAATAATATCCAAGAAATAGGACTATACTATTAAGGATTGTAGAATATATTCGCATTTTACCATGCTAATCAAGTCTTGCTTTATGCATCGCCCTTGGTGAACAAAAGCTTTTTCAGCAAGCTCATCTACTGTGTTGTAAAGTGCCAAAAGGAAAAGCTTGACTTGCTTGGAGCAACATTGAGTGAAAGAATTCTTGTCCCATCTATATAGGAATATTCATCAAAATTGAATGGACACATAGTGTAGTCTGGTAATCAAGAAGTACAAAGTACCACAAGAGAAAGGGACAATGTCATCTTGGACCTCTAAAGTACCTGCCACAATTTGTATAAAGTTGTGATTTGTACAATTTTCACCCTAATGTCAATAGTACATTTTGATTGCTCCAGTTTTGGTTTAAGTATATGGCACTCACTAAGATCACAACAAACATTCCATTTTTTTTTGGATTTTTGGATATATTCTTTGAATTTTGTTTTACTTTCTTGAGAATGAAACTATAGCATCATGTTTTTTTTTTGGGCTGTCATTTGATGCATATGAGACTAATGGGTGATTTGAAAAAACCTGTTAAGGGAATAGTATGAAAATATTTTGCTTAAAAATGGCCAATCTAAATGCATGGTTTCGGCTCAAATATATCATTGAGTTAACATTTTGGAAATCAAAAGTTGTACAACTTAAAGTAACAAGCTGCAAGAAAGAAAAGAAGAAAAAGTCGATAAAGTTGGAAGGTACTAACTTTTTAACCAATTGGATAAGGTTGACTAATTCCTCTCTTGGAGCACAATTATCAAATAAATCATCTACCACTGTGACTAGGACACAGGTCTGAGCATATGAGATTCGAGCATCAGATAATTCTGGCTCAAAGGCATCAGCAGTAATCATGAAATAACTCGATTGTAGAACACGTTTTGGGATTCTTGAACTCTGCAATTCGTTCTTTTCGTACCATCTGCATATGACAATCGATTGGTTACCTAAACTTTACACAACAGAATTTAGTGAAAGGGGAGCAAAAGAGAAACTACTTTGGAGATGAATTATCAAAATTTTTCTTTACTGCGGAGGATTGAGAAGTAATCATTGTAATATGTGGCAAAAGGTTATATTGGCCTTACTTTAGAAAGGCTTGAGGGTTAACTATGTCAATGGTTCCATAACTCTATGTGCATTGTCACTTCGATTCTCAATCTTTCAACTCTATCCCCAAAAAAAAAAAAAAAAAAATTGATAGAGTTGAAAAAATATAAATGTTATTATTTGTCATCAAAATGTAAATGTTTGATTCACCAAAATTACACGCAAAATTGTTAAAAGAAGTTCCATAAATATTTAAATCTCGGGAGAATATCCGAAATTAACAAACTCTGTGGGAAGAAAACATAGATTAATTTATCAGAATTACGGTGGGTGACCATTTAAAGACAAATCAAGAAGTTGAAGGACTCAACAACAGGCACAACAAGATTTGGATGACTAAAATGACACTAAGCCTATACTTTATGGACCGCTGGAAAGTCATTATTAACTCAATAGTTAAATAAGAAGAATTCACTTTTATGATGTAAAAATATTTCTAGAATACTTCTTCCAACCCCCTAAACAAAAGGAAAAAAAATGACATAACCTCTTCAACTACGTGACGCTAATTTAAAAAATAAAATCGTCAATAGACAAATTCTTGAAAAACCCATAAAAAAGACAAAAGATGCAAATAATAAAAGGACATAATTACTCATTTTCCCATCAATTAGCACTATGTACAAACTTTGCAAACATGCCTACCTTTCAAGTATTTGGAGTTCAGCTTGATGGAGGGCCTGACAACTGTTAAAATCTTGTATTGCCAAGGTTAGAAGGTCTCTGTTGGCAGTGTTGAAGCACCCAGAGTAGCAGAAAATAGGTTAATGATCTCCTGCAACAATTTGGACACCGCCTACATATATATGGCAGTTAATTTTCAGAATATTTACCTGTAAGATGTTTTAAGAATGTGATGCTTGTCAATGTCATATAGCTCAATACATCTCCTGTTCAATACCCGCGCTAACGTGCCATGATAATTCTTGAGAGTAAACTCCACCTAATAAAGTTAAATATTAACATGAAGAAGATAACAATTAATTATTGTGGTGTGGTGGGCAATTAAGGTGTCAATATCATCTTCAAATTGTTGTGCTAATGTGTCATTTTATTTTTTTTCGCTTTCTAGGTCATAAGGAATGGTGTGCACAGTGGTGTTATGAAATCAATTTGACAGAAACAAAAAGAACAATTGTTTGTCATTTTTCAAACTTTTTTTTTTCTTTTTTTGTGAAACAACGGGACTAAGAGTGAACAACCTAAAAAGATGGGCAATAACCCACAAAAGTGAGACTGTAATTTGGTAAGACTAAAGACTGAAGTTCGAAATTTTGAAAGCTGAAAACTGCTGATGAACTAGTTTGCTGAACTCACAACATCATATTGTAGGATAATACTGATTTGAGAACTGAATTAAAATATTTTATATCATATATACATATGGTTTAATAATAATAGTGCTAACTTACTGTACACTAATATAACAGCACACATGAGAGAGAGCAAGAAAATGCCTATGTGTGCGAAAAATTGTGTTTGAGAAAAGAAAAATGCATATGGTTTTTATGTTTGTGTGCATGTGAGAGAACATCTTAGAAAGTATTAGTTTGTCTGTTAGAGAGAGTATATTTGTATGTACGGAATTGTGTGAAAGAAAAAGTACATGTTTATTTGTGTCATGTGTGAAACATTAACTGAGTAAGTATTACTATCTTACTTGGACCCTAAATTTTGCATGCAAGCTCTTAATGTAGCTATAGGTAAAAATTTTCTGTTATCAAATAAATTTAATGAAATAGCAATTGATGGGGTTATCAAACAAGTGACATCTAGAAAATTATATATCTTCATTCTTCTGTTTCCAATGACCTAGTACTCAAGTAAATTAGAATACAATTCCCAATTTGGAGAATTAACCTAGGACCTTTCTTTCTAAGGGCTCAATCTTGGTTGCTTCTACCGCTAGATTAAGACAGTAAAACATTAGTAGTATGGCTTGAAGACGATAAAATAACAAAAATATAAGCTCGTTTTCACAATCGAACTATCGAACTATTGTGGGCAATTGAGTATGTTGAAGAGTAATTTCATTACCTCTTTATGTAACTTCTTGTCGATTATGTACTGATTTAGCAACTGATCCTTCAAATAAGTTGTTGTCCAAGCCTGGATTCTCTCAAGAGGTTCTTCATTTGGATATATAATCAGCTGGGAAGCTTTGTACAACTCCAGAATAGTAGTCACATTTGTGAACATCGGCCTTACTGTACTGAAAAATAATTCTTGATCTACGAAGGTCACCAGTTCATCTGCTGTGGAAATTGAGCTAAGCCAATTTTTTGTCAACAAAATTACATTTTAACTGATCAAATTTTCTCCGTACCTGCAGAAACATCGTATCCTCTTAGTCGTAGAAATCGAAATGCCATGGCACAACAACTGACATCGGAGAAAATTTCTTCATTCTTCTTCTGCCATGACCTGATTGTTCAAACTCGACAATTTGAGACAATTATACAATTAGTTGTACAATTAATTTGGCAAGTTACTTAAATTCACGTAAATCTTACTTGTATGTTTCATCCAATATTCTTTCTATTTCACGCCTGAAGTATGGTTCCAATCCCAACTTTTCAATTATGTCTATGAGTTGGAGCCCAAACGTTAACTTCAAAGGACAAATTTGGGGAACTGTGATCCCAAATAAAAAAATATGAGAAAAAAAAAACGGTCATACAATATTCGGGTATAAACTCGATTTGCCACCAAATAAAGGTTATTCTTTTATAAATGACAAAAAAATTGCTTTGATGTAAAGAATATGTGGCTGCAGTAGAATAATGGTTTTTTACTCAAAGAAAGTTAAAATGCACATTTAAAATTCAGGGTAAAATGCATAGGTAGATCACTGTAAAACTTTATAATCGTAGATTACCCATGTGAAAATATATTTATGTATTAGTCCCTCTTCGTATTTATGTAGATAATGGATGCAAATTCAACCAAGGCAACTCAACAGGAACAGTGGGAGCACGAAGTAAATGGAGAATATCGAATAAATTCCATTTCCTTAAAGGTGGATTCAAAATCAAGATGAAGTCATTGTTGATGCCCCAATAGCAGTGGATATTTGTGGCTCATATGGTAACTATGACAGTTGGATAGTTCATTAAGAAGGGAAAAACATAGAGTGAGGAACAGGAACTCTGCCTGCGTAGCTATTCTAAAATAGGTTGGGCTAATTTTCCAGAAAGACGAATCTAATTTGGATGAGTTTGTACATTCACTTGATGAGTTAAATATAATTTAAATGTGCTATAAAGTGTCCCAAAAGATTCGCTAGAAAAATCCTTGTATTATTTTAAGCACATTGTAAATCATTAAAAATATTTTATCTCTAACATTTAACTTAGGAAAGCAGCCCCCACTTTTCAATGACAATAGCACCTAAAATAGGGATTTATGTTCTTGCCCCTTGGATAGTTGTTAGTAGAGATGACAATGGACAAGGTAAAATTCGAAATCTGCAGATACTCGACCCAATGGTTTATTCATTAAAGTTTGGCATTCGTGAGGGGTCACTGATGGAGAATCTAATAAGATTTGGTAAGAGAATCCTAAAAATTCGAAACTTGAAATCTAACATACATACGTACATACATTCATATGTGTGTATATCTATATATATATACACACACACACACACAAATCACAGGCATTTTACACTTCATAAAATGCTGAATTCCTCTCATATAGGTTGTATGACTCTACTAAAATTTTAAATTTAATATAATGTGTTGATTTAATATTATGTATGTATTAATTTTAGTTTGATAATAGTTAATTACCTTTTTTCTGAATTATTCAAATTAGCGGGCAGAGATACCCGATGGATAATTTGAACCCGAGAGTGAAAGGGTTTGGTAATGGAAGTTAAAATCGATAGGGTTTTACCAGATAGGGTTTGGTAAAAAATTTAGCTATATGGGTTAGAATTTGGTGAGAGGAATTTTTGAAAATATCCAACCCGCTACCATTCTAGGGATAAAGCATTAATTATTTGATTTATTCATGACATGATATAAGATTGTAGTACTATATCGCTAAATCCCATGTTTGGAATATGGGAGTACCAATTCCAGATAAGTGAATTAGACAATAAAATTGGGACAAAATAAATCCTTAGAGGAGACATGACTATTTATCAGGAACGACAACTAAATGGGATGAAAGTGCTAGATGGCATGTCGCTTCTCCCATTAAAGTCATTTAGTAATTCCCACGATTTTTTCACAGTACATGACTAATATGATGTGTGATTATTTTCAAAATTTTCGAGGAATAATCCACTAAGAACAAAGTGTGAAACAATTGTCTCTAATTAAATGATAGATCCAAGATTAGCAATCTCAAGATAATTAATTCCAAGACTACTCATCCTCTTTCTTCCAATATGAAACCAAATAAGTGAACTTCTCACCTCCTCGCCACTTTCGCAGAGAAAGCAGAGAGGCTAGCCTGGAAGAAATGGAATCTTCAACCAGTTGACAATCCTTTGAGTCTAAGCTCCATGATCCAACTTCTTGTTTCTTAAGATCCCCGGACGGCACCATGGCCGCCCATGTTGTGTCATAAGCAGATATTGATAATTCAACTTTGTTCAGTAACCCTTGTATAGTTCTAATTGATCTTTCTGTATCCTGCAGAGACCAATGATTCTTTTGAGCACACAATTTTTTTCCTTTACTGGAAGAGTCTGTAAAAGTGGATGGTTCTTTTAAGTTGTTTTCTAAATCAAGATTTTCGTTACCGATGAAAAACTGAAGCTGCATGTTACTGATGCTCGACCGAGATCAACATCTGCGAAATGAAAAGAGGGCAGAATTGCTTACCTAGGCAATCTTTGAATGATTGTGAAGTGGAACAAGGAATATTGCGATCAAATGACCGAGTGATCTGCATGAAGGTTTTGATCAAATGGTACTACTTACACAATGGAGACTTGGGGAACTTGATATTGTGATCTGGATAGGGCATCATCATTTTGTTTCTGCAAGCCATCACCATTTCTTGATGAAGAGATGAAAAGTGAAAGGTTAGAATCTCAAAGCAGAAATTGGTAGGATAATGTGAAAAACTGAAAAGGTAATTTTAGTGGTTAAATTTCACTACATGTTTGTTTTATTTTGCTGTTGACACATACGGCCCAATTCCACCAAACTTTATCCCAGCAGGAATTTTTTATTCAGGTGGTAGAAGTGTGTGTACATGATTGATTGATAAGATAATTTCATATACTTTCCCTAAAATTTCTGATAATTGCAGGTAGTTACATTCAAGTTGTTAAAATTAGACCTATCTCCCTTGCTCTCACGGTATAAATAACAATGTAGACCAAAATGCTAGGTTCTCCTAAAAAATCCTAAAATAGCATTGTGGTTATAATTAGAAACACCAAAAAAGAAAAGAAAAGAAAAGAAAAGAATAGAATGGCTCTCCATATCTATTTCATCAGTTCATTCTTAATACGACTGCTGCAAAACCCATTACCCTGCTAAATCAATTAAGCAAGCACTCAACTCAATCCTAATATTTTCAAGCAACTCTAGCAGTTCTAGCAATTTTAGTATTCTACCAAACCCATTCAGCAAGTACTCAACTAAATTTCGAAATTTCCAAGCAACTCTAGCAATTCCAGTGATTTCACCTATCCAAAATCCTTTTGTTACCTAAATTCTGCTACAAATTATTAAATCAAGTAAAACCGCTAGGGATTAAGGTAGTGCCATAAGTCTAGAAATCTATAGCAGTATGTCAAATCTGTATAAGGTAGTGCCATAAGTCTAGAAACTGGCTTAGGGGTCCAAAGTTGAAACAAATGAACGGTTGGACAAATGTGAATTTGGCTTGTTGGTTAATGGTTAGTGATATGCAGGTTCGTAGAATGTAAGTTAATGAACGGGTCTAAGTGAAAGTTTAGCATGCAATTTGTCTAATATTGAAATCCAAGGTTCAAAGTGAGAATTAATTTGAATTAAGGGAGTGCAAAATGGAAGTCCTATTAGCTTGGCGCCGATTAAGAGTTAACTATTATTCTCAATTGGGAACAGAACAGATGTATTTTACATGATGCTTGATTACCTTCAAGATTTTAGCTGTAAGACGATCTTCACACCATTCACCAAGAAGCAGTATACATTATTTATTCGAAGGCCAAGAAAGGAAAAAAGATATAGTCTAAGGAGTTGCTAGATCTTTTTTGCGAGCTTTAAAAATCTGTTCAGTTGGCATGTGAACTTTTACTCCAGAAAGAAGCCATAGAATAGCGAGAACGATTTGGCGTCAGGAATTGCTGAGCATCCACTTGCATGGAACTCCGGGATGTTAAACGACAAGGGACCAAATTTTTATATATACTTCTTTCGTCCCATGTATTTGCATCTACATGCTTTTGGATTTGTGTGTCCCAAAACTAGCATTCATCGAAATTAACAAAACAACTTGTCCACTTTGTAAGTGTTAATATATTCATGTAATTGATGTGGGTTGAGAACATATGTTTTATTTGTCAAAGAATAAGAGGCATTCAATCTAATATGTAAATTCTGGTGTAGTAATTTGATAAATGAAATGAGATTCAATATATTGCTGAGCATATTTATATGTCAAAACGTTGCAATATTAAATTAAATGATTGTACTTTTGCAAAGAAATAATAATTTGATATGTATCCTCATTAATAGAATGAAAAAGAAAAAAATTTAAAAACAATGTGCGCTACAAAAATTTGCAAATTGACTTATTAGGGCAACAAAATAGGAGTTTAGAGTTTAGACAAATATATAGCAGGACTTGGCTCATTTGTACTGGATTTTCCCTCAATTTTTTGCGGTGCATATTTGGATGCATGACACGTATTTTCAATTATTAATAAAGATTACAATTAGTCAAATTTAAAATGATCATATTCCTTCCTAATAAATGAAAACACATGTTATGTATCTAAATGTGCATTGTAGAAAATGAAGAAAAAATGCATTCCAAAGGAGCCAATCCCAGATATAGCAATTGAGCTATGAGAAACTTCGTATCCCTATCTCAAAATATTGCCTATGAAACTTTTCACAGGTAGAAACCTTTAATTGCAATGCCAAATTTCCTCGTTAAAGAATTTGTTTCATCACATATTCACACCAGGTTAGGAGAGAGTACAGGATTTTGGCAACGAATAGGATACATTTAAGGGATAATTTCAGAAACCTCCCTTGAGGTTTCTAACAATTTCGCTCGACTCCCTTCAAGTTTAAAAAATTACACTTACCTCCCTTGGCATAGTAAAATACCTATAATGCCCTCCACTTGATAGACAATTTTAAAATTAAGGCAAAAAATTCTATTTTTCTATCTCTTGTCTATTTTTTAATTAATATAATCTCTTTTTATTATCTTTCAATTTTGTGGATATTAGCAAATTAAATTTTACAAAAGCAACGGAAAGAGCAGATTATGTGCCAAATTAGAAGGAAATGAAGAGACTCGCAATGATACAGAAATAAATAATAAAATTAATGATTAAAATAGGAAGAAGAATTAAAGATGTAAAATTTGTCATATTTTGTTTATTGTCAAGAACAACTTTTATAAAATGTTAATAATTACATAAGGATTTCTTTCATTGAATTAGATATTTTTTATTATGATTTTATTATGGAGGTAGTAGAATTTATTCTCTAGTTTTGAAATAATAATATTTTTAAGACCATAGGAGGATTGTAATGACGGTTTTAGGTCAGATTAGCTTATATTGAAAAAGTATTTGAGCATTGATATTTAATTTTAGGTACAACTAGTTGTCAATGGGCTTTGTGTGTGTGTGTGTTTTTTTTCTTCTTTTTTTTTTGCGTGGCAAGTATTGATCGGCTACTATTTTATATGCAATTTAAGATTTTTTGCACAGTTACTTGATTTCAGAACTTATGCTTGGATAGTTTTTAGGAATTAGACTTGTTGATTTATGCAAAGTGTAGAAAAAAATAATTGAATATACTATATTTTTCTTTCTTAGTTTTGTACAAAAGAGCAATTTAGGATTTTTGTAAGAAAATCTATCTTATTGGACCTACATTATTACTAAACATTAAAAGTATGGGAGGTATATGTAATTTTTAAAAGCTGAAGGGAGTTCTCTGTAATTGTTTAAAATCTCAGGGGAGGTTTGTGAAATTATCCCTACATTTAACGACAATTGTTGCTGCTATCATCTAGAACAGTTTTGGTAGTCTAATTATTATCTATGAACCAAGAAATTTGTGGCCTATTCATTATCCAAGCGACAAATACCAAATTTTGTCATCAATCACCTTTGCTGGCGTGGATTTGCCACCGATCTTGGCCACCATATTATATCGTCGGCGGTTGTGTTTACTATGATTTTATGACTTTTGACAATGAAAAATTCGTATCTGATTGCCAATTTCCAAGTAGATGTCTGTTTGTAACACTTTCAATATAAAAAATTCCATGCTTATATGCATTCTTGTAGCAATAGATGGAGGCAGACTATGCGTGAGGTAAAATTAATATCACATGTACTGTGTAGTGTAATGTGAAAATGTACATTTTTTGGGCCAAATGTTTTATTATTAGAAGGATCTCTTTGAAAATTTTCAAATTTATAAGGGTGAAAATTTTTTTTCCTAGATTTCCAGGGGTTGTGGCCTCTCCGTGTCTTCTTCCATGTACTTGTAGAAGCAAAAGCTTTTGAAGCCAAGTCAAATAATTGGAGTCAAAGCATTTCTTTCTATGGTTACGTCTACGGTGAAAAAGTTCACCTTTCTGCCCATAGTAGGCAGAAGCAATGCAAGGAGGCCAACTGTGCTATGTGGGGACGCACAAAGAAGGATATCCGAGCACCACTGGAGAAAGCCGGTTGGGCCTGGATGAAAAACGTAATACATCTTAAAATCACAATAAAAGTCCTTTTAAAAATTTATTCATCATCTAATGCCAATACTTATATTTGATAAATTAAAATAGTTAATTAAATATTCTATTATAATATAAACAACTATATGTCATTGAGTTGATTGAATGATATTTTCTTTTTCTTTTTTTTTTTGTATTTCAACTAGTTGTCAATTAAGTTTCAATTGAAATAAATATTTTATAATTATTTAAATTGTCAATTTAAGATGAGCATAAATATAAATACATTAATTGTATTATTGAAATATTTGATTTAATATAAAAGAAAGACAAGAAGAAATAGCAAGAAATTTTTTAAAAATTCATGTGAGTCCTTTATATTGGTAATCACATTTACTTGTTATTATAATCACAATGCCTAACCATAACTGATTGAAACTCATATACACAAGTCATACAACAATTTGTGTTATACTGTTTACAATTAAAGTTACTATACACTCAAATTAAAATTCTCTTTTTTCCACTAAATTTTCTTTTATATATGATTTATGTGTTATCATTGATTTGTAATTAATTTAATGAAAAGATGCTCTTTAGGCTAAATGATATCTTTTGACAATGTGGATTACTTTTAAGGATTTTAATGAGATTTAGAACACATTTTTTATGCATTTAATCTAATTCACATTTTATTTTATTTGAAATATAATTATTTAAAATATAAGGGACCATATTGAACAAATTTTCAAATATTAGAGACCAAAAAATATAAAGTCAAACTTTTGACTAATTCTAACTTGATGTTGACTGTTAGATATTATTGTTTTCTATTAGTTGTCCTAAATTTGCCTAAAATAAAAAATTTGGGACCATATTTATTTTGATCAAAATATCAGGGGCTAGTTTAACTCATAGACCAAACGTTAGGGGACCAAAATTGCACATCTTCCTTTATTTTAATCATGTTTGATATCCCAACTTTTTCTTTTATATTTATGCTTCAATTATTTCAAATTTTAAACTCAATTAAAATATAAAAACTATCACAATATTTATTTTGACATGTACAAAATTTACTAAATAATATTGAAAATTTCACCTATTTTCTGTTACAACAATTTTGTCTACCTTTCCATACCTTTATTTTTCACGTTTTTTTGACATTCACTTTTTCGCTCTTCAATTTTCATTGGGACCTGCATCTCGGTTAGAGTGTTCACAAAATATTTTCTAAGTAATGGGTATTAGATGATGAACAAAATTTTAAGAGGACTTTTATTATAATTTTAAAATGTATTGCATTATTTCATCCAAGCACAACCGGATTTCTCCGGTGCCCGGTACATCATTTATGTGTCCGCCTTTGTGTGTCCCTCCCCACAGAACACAGTTGGCCTCCTTACATTGCTTCTGCCTACCGTGGGCAGAAAAGTGAACTTTCCACTGTAGACGTAACCTTCTTTCTATCAACCTCTTCTAAATTTTCTATCCCACCTCTGCTTTGTCCCTATTACATTGCTAAGTGTCATTAAACAAACCTAAGTCATCATAATCCTAAACCTTTCAAACGTGGCTACGTCAACAGAAAAAAGAAATTATTGTAACGAAAAGCAATAATAACAGAAAACAAAAGTGGTGAAGAAGAACCCTAAAAAGCCTCCAAAATCATGGTAAAACAATTCTTAAAAAGAGTTGCATGAATACCCAATAAAAATTTTTAAGAACATATTACAACCAAATTTAGGGGCCTACTGTGTCAAAATGTTGGAGTTTGTGGTGTGCAAATTTGAAGCGAACAATAAGTTAGGGATGTAGGTGAAACTTGATCAGCTAACTAGCAGGCTGTGATGTGTATGTAAAATCCATCAACTTTCTCAATGCCGTTAAACAAAAAGTGGGGCAAATATAAAAGCTTAGAGTGTAAAAGGTATCTAAAATTAAAATTCAAAGCGTAAAGTGAGAATCAGTTATAGCTAGGGTATGGGACACAAGGTGGAATTAATCCAATTAATGTTAGTATCCAACTAATTTGGGGTGCTCAGTCATAAGGTCCTATTTTTCATTTTAGCTTTATTTCAAAGACATTAATTTAGTTTACTACCTGAATTTTCCACAAAAGACTTCAATTTGAGAAATCATACATGAACATTACAAAAGTCGTTCAAATAGCACTTTAGATATGTGGCTGCTCCTAGTTTCCTTGGAACAATGGGCCATGTAGTAGAATGCTTTTGCAACCGTCAGAAATGTTTGCTTGACCATTTGGCATACGTTCTCAGGGGGGCTTTGAAGCACCAATCGAACAATTTCTTGCATGTCAGCTTCAATCTCTGTGGATCTGATACAACCGTGTGAACCGCCATTCATCTCTGGGCACACCGTATGAATTTCCTAATGATCATAGCCCAATTGGTTCGGATTATGACGAAAACAAGGAGAAGAAGCTACTTTCACAAATTTATATAGAATATGTAAATGCATCAGAAACTATATGTAATAGATGGGGCTGGAATTCGAATAAATTGGTTGGAAATTATAATTCGAGGAAAATAAAATTCGTAAGTAGGGGCATGTCTACCCAGGAGCAACATTTTGTTAGTTATAGGTTGGAAATAAATGTCATAGCTAAAAGATTGTAAATTTCATAGCACATTTTGACTGCCATACCTTTTGATTTTTCTGATGTTGGCGAAACTGATTACAAACTTTATCCGTGAGGTGTGACAAATGCTTGTAGTCGTCATTGTACAGCATCTCCTTTGAACACATTATCCTTCCACTGGACAGGTTCAGAATCTGCACTATCAATGTTGCCTCATTTGGGTATTCACCCATTTTCATATTCAATGCTGTTGTCAACCACGCCTCCCACTATCAAGTTTCAAAAGTAAATTCAAAATACTACAACTAATAGAATATACATTTTTATGACTAAGGACAGAATTTCTTGATGCAGTTTTAGTTTACTAAGAAATTAAAATTGGATTTACATCCAGATTTGGTTCAGTTACGTTTCTGTAGAAAACCATTCCAGTTCAAGTTTTGATAGGAACCGAACAGGAGAGAAGAAAGGAAGTTGTCAAGAAAATTTGCTTCAAGCTCACCGCATCATTCAATTGCTGAGTTAGATCCCTCTCCAGCCCTTGAAATGTCTGAACTGAGAGATGGTGAATGAACTTTTGAATGTTTCGAAGTAGTCTCTCTCCCATCCTATCGGTTAGAAAATTACATTATACGACTAAATCGTAATCATCTCGTTTCTTACATTTCATTCCTTTCTTGCTTTAAAAAAAAGTATAAATCATAGCCAGCAACCTATTATTTGACATTTTAATTAGGTTTTATTTCTTGTAATGCAGATGTCTATTTGCGTGAAACTTATTTTCTCAACATTAGTTTTACTAGAAATAAGAATAATTTGTCAATCATATGATTCGTTTCTTTTCCATAAAGGGATCTTTTTCTTTTTCACCTTTTGTTGTAACAATGTTTGCTTTATTTATTTTTTCCCCTTAGACACAAACGATACAGATGAGCTATCCTGACAATTGAAATATACTCAAATAAAAAAAGGCTTAAACTTTATACTTACTTGTCTATCTTTTCAAGAGAGCTAAAAGAATTGCCTTTGAAACCTGCAATGAATCGATTCCTCTGTTCTGTTGATGTAGCAACTTCATCAAAATATATTGTCAGAGACTGAGCAATTACCGTAGATTTAGCCCATGCCAGTCTCTCTATTGACCTTTCTGGCTCATATAAGCTTGCAGCAGCTAGAAAATAGGCATCCAAAAGGTTCTCTATACTGATCCCGAATTCGGGAAGGTTGCTTTCTGCCCACCACCTTTATCAATTATAAAGTGTCAATTAAGACCATATAGTAAATGGATACTAATCACAGAGTGTACTTAAAGAAGAAGGTGTACGAACGTTTTGTGAATACATACTGCTGCATGTTGATCCACTCAAGTTGATGCTGAGCCTGACACTCGTTGTAATCTAGTTTGGCAAGCTCCAGATAAATATTGTTGCTAATTTCAGCCACCCTAGGAAAATAAGCTGTTATCAGATTTGCCAAGTGAAATCTTAATGTAACATGAAGATTTACATTGACCAACTAAAATGACGAGATTTACAGATCTTGATTTTAAAAAAGCTGGTTAATTGCTGATCATTAATCCAAAATTGCTTCAAAATCGAGGCCAACTTAGCAGATGTACACTACCTACCGTGATGCGTGCATTCCCCCTACACCCCCCCGGCCCTCGCCCCAAAAAAAAATCCAAAATCAAGAAAAAGTGGAGGTAAATTTCTAAACAACCATTTGGAGTCTGTTTGGAAGGCCTGTTTTAGACACAATTTTTCTTCGATTTCGTCTACAATAACATCTAAAAACACCATAAAATTTTTAAAATACATAACCGAGAACATCCAAAAGGACACACCATTGGATACTAATTGAACTTTGCAAACGAAGAAACATTTCAATAATTAACGATGGCCATGTAAGAGCATTTTGGATAAACATTGATGCAAATTAAATTTTTTGACACAAAGCATACAAAAAAAAACTTGTTAATGCAGCACTTCGATTTTCTCTTTGGATGGATAACTGAATTCTGTATCAAGGTTTATACCACCATAAAAACTATAAATTTCCTGCTTTCGAATTTATCTATTTATTTGTTTCTTGTGAACTTCTCTAAACATAGATACTTCTGAACTTTTGTTTGTTTTTCAAATTCATTAGCCAGCCGAGCTAGACTTAGATCAAATATTGAAATCACCTGTATAATGTTTTGCCAACCCAAACATCATCAGCACCACTATAATGCTCTACATAGAACCTGGCTTCAACCCGAGGTAAGTTAGCATACCATGGTATTCCAATTCCATAAGTTATCTGCACAATAGAGTAGCGTTTTTTTTAATATCTAAAAATAATTAACATTAAAACTATAATGAATTCAAATTTGTTATTTCCTTCAAATTGCACCTCGCCAGGAATGTCCTTGGAAATAACCCACTTATCTACAAATTTGTTATTTGCTACCCTTTCCTTCAAAAAGTTGTAGGAGAATCTTTTGGCTTCGTCAAGTATATTCTCACTAGGAAATTGAACTTGAGAAGCCTTATAGAGATTTAGGATCGTCGTTGGAGATTCATTTAGCTCACCGCCAAGGCAAACGAACTTGCCTTGTTTCCTGAAGTGCTTAAAAACATCTATAGAAGCATACAAAGAAAGAAATGTTGAAAATGAGTTGACAAAAAAAAAAATCTCATCCCATTTAACTTCAAGAATGTCAAATTTGTTTCTGTTCTTGGACCATAGACATTCCAATACAGTTCTAGGATCGTCGAGTGTGAATAATTAAAACTATTTGCATTGTTGTTAAATACCAAAAAGTTAAAAAAGAAAACCTTGTCTAATATTAGCAGTAAGAAGTTTTATGACTTAAAGGAGGTCTGGATGTGCAACTTAGTTTGTAACTCATATGAACATCTTGAATGACAGATGGATTTATGTAAAGAATACGAAATTCGATATATCCCAAGAGAAAAGAAACTGTTCAAAAGAAACACACTAGCTATATGATAACAGAAATATGCCGAAAAAAGAAAAAGAAAAAGAGAACTTTCAATCTAGCTAATAACAACCTACCAGGGTTGACATTGTAGCCCAATAACCTTAGAAGCCTGAAACCCATAGAGGTGTCATCCAAATCATAAACTCTTGCATTTCTTCCACTAAATACTCCATTTTCAGTCCAATATCTGAATTAAAAAAAAAAAACCATTTTGCAAGTAGACAAGTATACGTAACTCTTGAGTAGAGCCTAGCAATTTTAAATTCTTTTGCTCATAATCTAATAAGCCATTATGTTTTCTCACCTGTATACATAGTCCAGACAGTCCTTAATCTCCAGCTTGAAGAAACGAGAAATTCCAAGGCGTTGCAAGCGATCAACGGCCCAAAGTCGTGAGAACACATCAATCGGATAGACGGTAGGTGCTGAAGAGTGAGATGACTAAATTTAGCAAATACGGGAAATTCTAGTCTAGCCATTCAATTGCAGTTTCATAGTTTGCTTGCTTATCACCACTGGATAAGAAGAGGTGAATATAGTAGGAGTAGTAAATTACCTCCACCATTGAATTTTGTGATAATAACGTTGAGATACTTCAAACAGTTGTTATCTTTGGTCTGCATAAGTGCAAAGGCAGTTGAAGATGGAGAAGTCAAGAATGATCCTTCTTCTGTTTGTAGCTTCAACAGCTTTTCCCAATTTAGGTCTTCTAATCCTTCCAAATTGTAAAGTATTGGAGTTGGTATTTCATGCATTAGGTCCTTTGGAATCCTATGATCCAATTAATAAGGGTAAACATACAGTATAACTAGTGAAAATTAATGATCACCACTTTATCACAAAATATCTTCTAATCTTACCTCCTTCCATACTCATATTATGCCTGTATAATACACGTTTGTACATGCCATTCAAAAAAAACTTTCGTATTTCATACATCTAAAAAATACTTGTAATTTTCAATTAACCATATAAAACACGGAATAAATTTTTAAGGCATTATACTTCACGAATTATACTTCAATTTTTCAAAAAATTTTAAAATTTGAATAAGAATAATGACATATTTCTTGAGTTATATAGAAAATAAGAGCAATATATATCAAGAAAATGGTAGATGGATACATATTTGAATAATAAGGTGATAAATTTTAATTAAATGTAATGTCTCATACATAAAAATAAGTTTAAGATTAGTATATAAGTAGCATAGTCTTAGAAATCTATAGTATATTTATCCATACTTTTAGTTTTGTAATTTTCAAATATATTTGTATTATTCATGTATGAATTTATATGTGTAATTTTGCTGAACACGTATTTTTATGTCGAACTTTTCATCGTACTTTTGAGAAAAAAATTCATATAACATGCTTACGTATAATATCTCATATTTTACCCATCTTATATTTTACTAACTATGATTAAAATTGTTACCTTGTTACAACTATTGGTACATTTTTTTAAAACTTATTAATGCACTGTAAAAATTGTTTTTGTTTTTAACAAAAACAATTTGTTAATTAGGGTGGGAGAGTTGGTTGGATTGGATGATAAGTTGGCAAGAATTATAAGTAGGAGGTCTTGAATTCAAATCCTTTCACTTATAAAAAAAAGAAAAAAAGAAAAAAAAGAAGATGGGCTAATACCTTGCAAATTTTAAAGATCTCAAACGAAAGATCTCTCTTAGAAATGGAGCATCATGGGGAATCTCAATGCCCAAACTACGAGCTCTTTCAACAAGAGGAGGAAATACAACTTCAAATCCACAAGTCATGCTATCTAAATCTTCCTTTCCCAGTTTGGATAAGTTCTCCTTGAAAAATCTTGTTCCTGATCAATAAACAATACGTAATTTCCTAGTTAATGCATACGCAGGTCTTGATCTTGAATAAAACCTTGGTTAGCTAATCATCGGTTGTTACCTTTTTCACTCTTGTCTGGATGATTATTCCATGATCTCAATGCAATTACACAAGCTAGAGTATTCAATAGTCGATCACACACAGAAAATAGTGCATCACCCCAAGAACCATCAGAGAGTTGATTTTGTGCAATCCACTCAAGTGAGGATGGAAATTGAGGAGTGCCACTTCCATCAATATTTTCAATAAGAGAAACCCATGCTGTGTCATAAGGTGAGATACTTATTCTTCCATCTTCAACGGTGCTTAGGATCCTTCTAATATAAGCAATCGCCTTCTGCAAAAGCAAAACCAACAAAAATTATGTCCAGATTCACTAATTTTAAGAAACGACTGATAAAAAGATCGAAAAAATAAACATAAATTTACCTTTAGAGCTTCACTTGCTACATGATCGGTCTCTCTTACTAGTGAGGTATGGCTACAGTCTGCAATGAACAATCAAACAAGAGACATTACTACTTCCATGCATATATGGGAAACTCCTCTGAAATATGCTCTGTATCAGATTAATTAGGCTTCTCTCAAAACAGTTGTAGAGGAAATTTAGACATGCATAAATGTAATATTATGCTTGTCTCGAGATTTTTAGGGCGTAGTTGGTGGAAGTTCAATTGTCACTAATTATTGTCGTTGCGTCGAAAGCTTGTACAACCTTTTTTGTGATTTTGGCCCTTTTTTCACCCCAGATGTTTCGTGCAAATAAGATGAGAAAATATTCTTAGATGGAGTTCATTTTTAATTATGTTGATCAAGTTACTAAATCAAAAAATGTTCAAAGAAAAATTTTTAGGTTCTTAAGCTATACAATAAATGGATAAATAGTTAGAGGGAAAACTAACGGAGGAGAACACGATCCCACCCTTTCCGGCAATGACCCCATTACCCATGTTAACAGAACTTCTGAATACTCCAAAATTACCGCTTGCTTTTTCCTTCTAATTCAAAATACTTCCTTGGATGAACTTTCAATTGACAATTGGACAAATCGATAATTTATTAGTGGTATAATTAAAAGGTTAGATGTTACTTGAAATCAAATGCAATTTAGGCGAGAAAACTTTGGTTAACCCATACAATAGCAATACTTTAGCATACCTTGGGTTTGAGCTCTACAAATGTCATTTATAATATTGAGGTCATTTAATTGTAGCGCTTTTGTCTTTGGAACTTGAGTACCTGAAAAAGAATGTTGTCATTTCAGTCACAGGGTTGAAGTTCATTCTCCAGTTGTAAGCATAGTTGATATATGTAAGAGAAGCTGAGTGACTTTTCATCACAGCAGAAAAGATAAAATGAATAAAAAAAGAAGACCCCATTATGAGAGGTTTGCACCAAATCACTTTGTGGCTCTCATTTTTTATGGTGGGGAATGAATGTCTGTGGTAAATTATTTTTCTATTTGCCACTTTGGATTTGAAAAAAAAAAGGTAGTATATTTTTTTTCCTTTTTATATGGATAAATTACCTTTTATTCCACTGTGATTTGGTACTTTACCATATTACCCTCTATGATTTAAAAAAATATATATAACCTCTCATGATTTGGATTAAAGTGTCACTGTTAGTTTTTCCATTAAAATTAACGATCAATAGTAAAAAGTCAAATTCAAACTAATAAATTGACAAATTTATCCATTCAGCAATTCTTTTTTTTTTTCCTCCAAATATAAAAAAGAAGAAATTGAAATAAAAAATACAGATAAATAAGAATTAGAAAATACGATTAAAGATTTGGGTTTAAAAACCTATAATGATATTTGTAGTTAAAAAATGATTTGGTATTTTTTGTTTCTTATGTATTTGTTGTATATTTTGCTTCCATCTCTTTTGTATTTGGAAAAATTAAAATTTTGTAGGCCAAAGTATAAGTTTTCAAGATAATCTATTCTTCCCCAAAAAGAGAGAGAGAGAAAGAAAAGGAAAAAAGTAGTGAAAGGGTGAATTTGTTAATTTATTAGTTTGAGTTTGAGTTTGACTTTTTACTATTAACTATTAGTTTTAACGAAAAAACTGACGGTGACACTTTAATTTAGACCATGAGGGGTTATATATAAAATTTTAAACCATAAAATGTTATGTGGTAAAGCATCAAATCACAAGGATAAATGATATTTACTCTTTTTTTTTTTGTGGTACAAAGCACGTTTTCTAGTTGTATACAAAAATCGCAAGAGTACAAATAACTCCAAATGTCTGGAGATGCACAAAAATTGATGGAGCTGTAATACACTTTGCCAACATGTGACCCTAAATTGTCCAGTCCTCCTTTTCGGGAAAGAAAGAGGACCCTAAAGATGAGTGATCTGGAGAAGCATAAAGTAGGAAATGGAAAAATAAGATAAAGAACTTGCAATCAGGACAATCGATAAATCCAAACTATCTGAAGATGCACGCACCTGCAACATTTTTAAAGGCAGTATTCCACCGCCAAACAAAATCATGACTATTTTATGTGCCACAAATGGAAACAGCTCAGTATACCTAACCTGCCAATTATTGCATTTAAATTGTCATTGCACTAACCAACCCTATCCATTAGTATGACCATTTTAAGAAGAGCCAAAAAATGACAACAACAACTGAAAATACTTTGCTTGCCAATTATGCTAAGTTGTCATTGCACTAATCAACACTTTCCATCATTTGTGTTCAATTCATTGACATTGAATCTGATTGTATGGTTTTGATCAAGATCCTCCAAGGCAAGAGAAATCGTCAATGGTCTATTCATTCTGTAGTTAAAGAAGTCCTTCGTCATCAATTTACCTCTGTTTCTCATTGTTTTCAACAAGCTAATAGGCCTACTGATGTTTTGTCCAATATAGGATGTGCAAATGGTGCTACAAACGTTTATGACTCATTTGAAGCTCATCCACGTCAAGCTAAAGGCTAAATTAGATCTGATTAGTTATGTCTTCCATCCCTTAGAAGATATTAGCATTGTATGTTTCAAATATCTCTTTATTTTTCAAAAATCTTCTTTATTTTTTTAAACTTTTCAAAAGTATTCATGTAATTTTGGAGGTTAGGTCATGTCCCCCTCTGTTTTGTTTTCATTAATAAAATAAGGGCTAACATCCCTCTCCTATATGTGGGATTTGCCACTTAAAAAAAAAAACTAGTTTTCCCAGCGATCTACATTTCTCAAAACCTCTGAAAATAGGCATACTTACCTCTTTTTTTCTTTAGAAACATATTCACTCCAAATCCCGCAAGTAAGGTCGGAGTCTGGGACTCGCTTAAAGTACAAATTGTATCCGTGTCTCTTAATATATCAGATGACGTACAATATAAGAGTAGAACACTTATATATCGCACGATGTACAAGTGGATCTCTAGACCACAATCTAAATAGTTTCCTATGCCGAGAAATATAGTTCTATGCGTCTAATGAAAGACAAGGACTGAAACTATGGATAGAGGATTATTTGAAAAAGAAATTGAAACAATACTTTATTATTTTTGTTTTCTTATGTAATGTGTGTGAGATCAAAATATGATTAAAGAAATTAAATGATGAATGGAAAACGTGTTTATAATACAAAAACTCAAAAAAGAAAAATCTGAAGAATGACATATCCAAAACAAAAGAAAACCAAGATAACTAGTAGATAAATACAGGAAATGAAACTGAACTCATGTGGCAGAGAACTAACCTATGAGGATACTGAAATTTCCCACTGACCGACCATGTTTGAGGGATACTGCTTTGCATTTAGATGTCGGAACGGACTTCGGTGGAAAAGTGAAGATAGCATGATGCATTTGTGTGGACATTTTAGACGAAGAGAGTGGATATCTATGTCTGAACAGACGATGAAATTCTAGAGCTGGATTTTGAAGCATTCCACTAGATGTGGCTTTATATATAGGAACATTGACTATCTTTTCCTATGATATGACTATAATTATACACAATTGGAATAACAAAGCTAGTGTTGTAAAGTCTGATCAACCTATTTGATAAGTGAATATTTAACGTACATTTTGTACAAGTTTGGCATGAACTTTTGTTATGTCTTGAGAGAATTAAAACCATATTTGAATTCTTTTTTGTGCTAATTGCTTAAGTGTTGTTTGAATAATCAAACTTGCTAAATGAGTGGATTAATGCTTTAATCTGTGATATTTTGAAGGATATTGACATGTGAACTTCATGTACAAGATAAAGAAAGAGCAAAGATCATTTGGAGGATAAAGTACAAAAGAAATTAGGAGCAAAAAAAATGAAGAAAAAGGAAGAAACCGAAAATATGGAAAATGATCACACGGATCTGAGTCCGGATCCGTGTGCAACAAGATTGATCCGAGCCCTCATCTGTACTTCTGGAGTAATGGATCCGAGGTCAGTTGATCCGAGCTCGGATCCATTTGAGAAAGGCCTCGGATCCGCAATGATCCGAGCTCAGATCTTACTGAAACCCTCGGATCCATGGCTCGGATCTGTCTCTCTCTGTTGCAAGTGGTACAGTCGGTTTTCTTACTTTTCACACAACTTTCCAACTATCTTTGGTGAGAGAATTCGGTGGCACATGCTTCTGCAACAAAAGGGAAGACAAAATAAGTTATTGACAAGTCAAAACAACATGTCTTTTGACTTTCTTTAACAAAATCTTAGTTGTTGGAATCATGAAGGAGAAAAAGGTGCTTTCCACCACCTTTTATGTAGAGAAACAGGGAGAAACCAGGCATCACCATACGTAGTTAGTTTTTCTTCTGGAAAACAATTTTCTCTCTAGCTAGAAGTTCTGGAGGAAGCACTTGGAGACTTCACTTGTAATCATCTTGTACAAGACATAGCAAAATTTGGAGGGCTTCCCCATTAATTGGCTAAGCTTTTCTTTATCTTTCTTGTACTTGTACTTTATGATGTTTTATATTAATAAACTTGTGAATTTGATTGTTATATCATTCATGAGCAGCTAAATTTCTTTATTTAGGGAGTAGATGAAACTTATGGTTAAATGATGTGAATTGAATATGATTTACACTTGTTGTATCTTGTATTAACTTGTCTATTTGTGCAGTTTTAATTACTTGTTGTTGTTTGATCACCAATAGCATGTTTATAGTTGTTATTAGTCAATGAGAATTGGTAGTAATAATGGAAAAACATGAGTAGAGCTTGAGTTGTATGTTCATGAAAATAGAGGTACACTTAAGTAGATTATCTAGCATTTCATGAAGGAAAACAGAGTAGAATTAGTATTTCACCATAAAAATAGGGAAAACTGGACTGCTTTAGGCCATTTTATCATGAGAATGAGATTCGGTAATATTAGAAATGAACCCCTGGTTAAACAAGAATAATAACAAGAGATAAATCTATTCATTTGTGTAGTTTATACCATAAGTGGAATCTACATCCCTAGATTCAATCCTGAATGAAATTTCTCCATTTGTATTTAGCATTTATTAAACTGGATTTGTAGACAGTAGCATTATAATCTTCTTGTTCAAATTCATTTTAAGTCTAAATAATATAGAAAATAAGAGGCTAGTACTTGTTTAACTTGCTCCTTGTGGGATCGACCTGATATTTGCCCAAAACTACTAAGTGACCGGTATACTTGCAGTCCAACAGGTAAAATTCGGAAATAAACTTGCATTGATATAAAAATCCCGTCTCTATTAAAATTGGACACTTTGTTTTTTATTTTGTTTTGTCATTTGATTTGGTAAAGTTTTGATTTATAAATTTTGCTGATCACATATATTTTAAGAAGTAGCTCTTCACTTCAGTCTCAATACAACTAGTTATTTACATGTACATTAGCTCGGACATTTTTTATCATTGAAAATTTTTTGGACAAATATCGTGCAATAGCCTAAAATATTAAAATTTATAAAATGTTAAATATACTACATATAAGACACTCTTTAAAACTGGGCAGAATAAAAGTACTTGACTTATGCACAAACTATTAATTAGTTCCCAATGAATCTTAAAACATTTGTTCAATTCTGACTACTTTAATTGATGGTAGTAAAGTGTTATATGAGAGAACTAGATATACATATTAGGAAATGTACTAATATTTGATAAATTTTAAAAATGACAAAAAAATTTTAATAAGAAAAAATCCATTAAAGGAAAATGCACAAAAAGATGTCGAAATAAATGAAATGACATGCAAACGTGATTGTAAAGAATGGATCAGATTGTCTAATTATTAAGAAATATAAAACGGTTTTCCCTTAAAAAATCGAAGAAATTGCTTAGAATGTAATTCATCTGTAATTGACTAATTATAAGAAAAATTATCTATAGTTTCTTCAATTTTCTATATTAGAGAATGGACATCTTAATTTTCTGGTAATGATGGATAATAAAAAGTAAAAGAAGAGACAAATTAATGTAAAATGTTTACATGTCAGGATTGATTCCACTGTCACCTCAAAAAGAATTCATTGTCGTGGAAAAGGTGTTAAAGCATAAAGTAAGAAGCAAATGCACCCCTTTAATCAGAAGATCACGGGAATCCTTTTGATACAATTTATTATGATAGAGGGGTAGGGAGGATCGAAATGAGAGATTATAAAGCAATATAAATGCACTTAAAGTTTAATTCTTTGACGAATAAAAAATTTCAAAAGAAAACTAATGAATAGTGTAATTTTTTATTTGCTCAAATAATAAATAATTTGATAAAGAAATTTGGATGCAATTCTTTAATTTTTTTTGAAAGTTATAAAAAGCAAACTAATAGAGAAATTTTCCAAATCCATGCTTATCTTAATATGACTTGGGATTGTGATAAGTTGCAAAGAAATTAGATTCCAACCCAAAAACATCATAACTACTGGAGAAAATTTAAGAAAAAATGATTAATTATATAATTTAAATGGATTAAGATGAGTAACATATTGAAATATTGAATACAAAATGATAGAAAAATGAATGTTGTCTAAATTTAAAAGTAAAACCAGATTATCAAGCCAAATGATAAGAATAAAGAACGTGATTGGTGAAAATTAAGGGAAAAAGAAAACTGTAGGCTGATTGATACCTAAAAAAAATGCATAATCAATATAAACGAATATAAAGTAAGGAATGTGTAGATCTATTGAAGTTAACTGCAATTAAGGAAGTATAGAATGATGAAAAAAATATGACTTTGTCCAAATTTAAATCATAGGAATATATAACCAAGTCAAATAATAAAAATAGAAAACGTGATTAGAGAGAATTAGAAAAGAAAAACTATAGGTTGAGTGATAAAATAATCAAGTAAGGCATAATTAATAGAAACATACACGAAGTAGGATCAATAAATTGATTCAAATTTACGATATTTCAAGTAGGCAAATAATATATTGATTGAATTTTTGTATAATTTGCAAAGTGAAAAAGGAATGAAATTAATTGTAATTAAGAAAAACAAACACAAACATGATATTTGTTCACATTAAGCCAAGAGTCACTTGGCAAAAATTGCACAATTTTTTTTTTAATATTATAAGGGGTTGATGCATTTTGCCATATAGAAACAAAAGTACCCATAATATTACACCAATATTAAGCTAGTATATAGGAGACAAATATTTCACATTTACAAGGTTATGAGTGCAAATTTTCGTGCTATGAATTTTTTTGGGAATTAGGATAAGAAATGAGAAGTTTTAGAGCCAAGGCTACTTTCATTAATTCATTTCAATCTTGCTTCTTAATACATACAAGAATCATACATACATACATATATATATATACATATATATATATACATGAGATAACATTCTTCTAGAATAGATTCTTTAGTTGTACTACATATATTTTGACTCATCGAAACACTATGAGACAGTGACAGATGCAGGATTTTAAGTTAGGAGGGTGCAAACAGTCAAGCAAGGAATAACAAAAAAAATCATAAAAAATTAAGCACACTAAAAGTAAAAATTCAATAAATAACTAACAAATAAATATTTTTAATAACAAAAGACATCATATAAAGCAAAACATGAAAATTAGACTTTTCTTCAGGAAGATTGGATATTTGAGATCAGCTAAATGTTTTTACTTATATTGTTCTTTTCTAATTGAAGTATAAAATATCACAATTCAAGGGTGCAATAAATGTGAATGTGTGTATTTACATAGTAACTTAAGTTGATTTGAGTGTTTACGAGCACCTATTAATGGGCACCCGCTAGAAAAATTTATAAAAAGAAAGTAAGAGTATGTTTATTTTAGGGTAAATTACATTTTACCCCCCTGTGGTTTACCTTTTTTTTACATAACCCCCCTATGGTTTCAAAAGCTATACATAACCCCCTCATGGTTTGGATTAAAATGTCAAAGTAACGGAAATAGTCACTCGTAACGGAATTTCTAAAAATGTCGAAATTACCCTTATAAATACATGACACATGAACCCCGTATGATTTTTATATTTTACCATATAACCCCCTTATGATTTTCAAAATATACACATAACCCCCCTTGGTTAATACATAAATTTCAACTTTACATAAGGGTAATTTTGACATTTTAGGTGACGCCGTTATGAATGATCATTCCCGTCACTTTGACACTTTAATCCAAACCATAAGGGGGTTATGTATAGCTTTTGAAACCATAGGGGGGTTATGTAAAAAAATGCTAAACCACAGGGGGGTAAAGTGGAATTTGCCCTTTATTTTATGAACTTATGTAAAGAGAAATTAGTGCTTAATTAAGGTAATATTTGAAACTTATCTTACTAACATTAAAGTTGAAACAATGGTAAATTACGAGCAATTGTACGTCACTTTTAATATAAGGAAAGTAAACTTATAGTGGGATACTTTTGAATGAGTAACTAAAGAAAGTAAACAACATAACT